ATACCCAAATCGCAATTTAACAACCAACGGATTTAATGTGTTTGCCAGTAACAAGACAACAACAATCTCTGTTCACCATCAATCATGAATATTAATTGAGATGATTACGTGCTTTACTTTATATAATTCAGACAACTTTTTCACTAGCAATCGATGGACTTCTACTGTGACATTCATATATTGTATAATTTCAAAAATCCATCAAACACATAAAAATTGGTTTTCACGGTGTATCATGTCCGACACTAGGCCCCCTAGTAAAATAGAACCAAACTGTCGAGTCAAGAGGACCTATCTTCCTATGTTCAAAGTGCTGGATCAAAAAAAAATTCTGAGAGCTGGCTGTGAATGTTATTCAAGATAGTTTTGTGTGTACACGAAAAAAAACAATACAACACGGTTAAATAAGTTGTAGATTTCTTCACTAAAACACTTTGATCGACAAGAGTTTTGAAAACATGGTTACACATTTTGAATGTATCTATCAAACACTTTGATTGCCTATCTTTGTATATTTTTGTTACATGGAGATCTCGTACTCGTTTACTTTATCATTAACATGATGATTGTGATACGTGTTAGTCAATCGATTATGTTTTAATACGTGTAAACTTTTTTATTTAACAAAATTTTAATATGTATTAAATTTCATTTTATCTATTTAAAAAAATCTATGATCATTATATTAAAAAAAAAAAAGCAAATTAGAAAACAAAGTAACACCAAGCCTCAAATATTTTGAGATTCATAAACATCAAAGATAGTCATCGGATGAGGTAAGTATTTTGGCATTTGTAACATCTGCTTTCTCTTCCTCCAAAAGAGCATTGTAGTGAGCCATTCTTAGTAACTAAATTTTTTTACAATTTGGTTATTCAACTTGCAAATCAATTTGCTTGTTAGTGACTCTTAGGTCTTTTTGTGCAGACTAATTACTAGGAATAGTGCAGTCCATGGATAGACTCTGTCTTTGGATATGTAAATTTGCTGATTTTTTTTTTTAACTTAAATTTGCTAGTGTTTCGTTGAGAAAATCACTATATCCCGCACAATCATCAATTTAAGCTTTATCTTTTTCATAGGATTGGTTGTCTCTTCATATTCTTATGGTACATCTAACTTGCCAATAACTTCAAAAAACCTCTACCTCAATAATAACTAGACTTCTTTGTTCACCATCAATTATGGAATGAACCAGTACAACTACCAAATGGAATATTAATTAAGATGATTGTGTGATTTACTTTCTGATTTGAAAACAAATTCATGTTGATAGACTTTTTTTTTTGTTAAAGACAATTTATAAATCCATCAAACACATTAATAATGTTGTTTATATATTTTTTCTTCAAAATATCAACAATTACATGCTCAATCTTTAAAACAATTTCCTCTACTTCTACTATTTTTGTTTCATAGTTCTAGAATGAGATTTTAATGTCGGATAATGAAAGTATAATAATCCATCTATAACTCGGTTTTCAATCAATAAATTGTACACATGAATAATGCTTACGCTTAAAGACCATGGAAACCGAGTCGAAATTCCTCAAAGCATCTTTCGTTTGAAACCCACTTTCGAAATTTACGCACGTGCAACTTAATATAAAT